TGGGGATCCCTCTGAAGCCTCTTTTATAAAACACTAATCCCTTTTAAGCACCTCTCAAAGACCCCACCTACTACCATCACCTTTAGGGATTAGGATTTCAACATATGAATTTGGGGAGACACAAACATTCAGGTTATAGTGGCACAAACTCCTATTGGTGACTGAGGGTAGGAGACCATAGTAATAGAAGAATCTTATAGCCATGAGATCCATTGAATGGTAAAAATGTGAAAAAATAAAGATGGCCACACATTTCTTTTTTTTTTAAATATATTTTATTGATTTTTTACAGAGAGGAAGGGAGAGAGATAGAGAGTTAGAAACATCGATGAAAGAGAAACATCGATCAGCTGCCTCCTGCACACCTCCTACTGGGGATGTGCCCGCAATCCAGGTACATGCCCTTGACTGGAATCGAACCTGGGACCTTTCAGTCCACAGGCCAACGCTCTATCCACTGAGCCAAACCGGTTTCGGCAATGGCCACACATTTCTAAGAAAGCACCATATGCTGCTGATCTATTGCTAAAGGGAAGGAATGCCATATTTAACCCCTAACCCAGCAAAATTAGTTACTCTCTCTTTTGGGGGAAGGAGGACTATGAGAAAAAAATGTCTCATTCTATAATCTAAGTCAACACAAAAATGGTTCCCTTAGAACTTGAAAGAATTAAGTGTTTAGGGAAAAGAGATACACAACTCCAAATAAGGCAATATTCTGAATTTAGTTCTCTGGTTTTATTGAAAGATATATTATAAACAATTTCTTGAGTTGCCACTTCAGATTTCACATCACCGATGCAAGGAAGTCTGCTTTCAAACAAGTCTGAAATGGATATGAAAAATCTATGGGGCCGGGATCATCTGTGAACAGGCTCATATATACATGCTTCAAACTGATCAAGAATTTTCTTTAACACATAATAACAATTCAATTTGAAAAATATATGTTTTTACTGATAAAAAAGAATGATTCTCTTTACAGATAATATAATTATATCAGACCATATTAAACTAAATCTGTTTCCTAAAGAAAAAATAAGTACCATCAATTAAAGAACTCTTTTATTATTTGTTTTTTTATCAAGGAGTAAAATTACATTAGAGCCATATTGATAGGTCTTCCTGGTGTGGCTCAAATTTTTATATGCAGTAACTGAGAATAGATGTGTTCATCTTAACAGGATCTCCCTTGTGATTAAAATGCCCTCTGTTGTAAACACTTGTTAATATACCTGATTCTTATCTTCAGCTTTGATCTTCTCAAGGGCCTTCAAAAATCTTCAAAGAACATGTGTTGCCCAGCCCAGGCCCTAATCACAGCGCAGAACTCATCTTTGTAGCATTTTAATTACTATTTTCAGAATTGATATAGCTGAGAAAGTTCTTTATTACCCCCAGGATACCTGCAAGAAAATCACAGAGATATACTCTTAAGAGATCCACTCCATCTCAGAAGTCACTCTCCCTCAAGGTCAGCTTTGCCAAGGCTGCCGCAGCCATCCACCAGGCAAAGATAGGTTCTGAAGTGATGCTTGAGGAGTCAGCACTTCTGAAACTTCCAACTACAGAAGAAAGGAAGCCTTGGATTCTCCAGTAATCTCAGAGAGCTGGCTTCCCCTAGGGAAGAAACAACCCCAGGGAAGATCCTTTTCTTTTTTATTGGCCATAATCACCTGCCAGACTGATCTGAGCAGCAAGGGTTGGAGCACTGATGTGCACTGCTGGCAGAAGTCAAAAATGGGCCTAGACATTCAGAACATGGATGTGATGCATGATTTAGCAACATCTGTGGCTTTGCAACATTAAAGGACAGAGAACTACAAGCCAGCTTAGAAAGATAGCCATAAGGAACATAAGCCCACAGTGCCTTGAAGTAACTCAAGGGAATATTGAATCTCAATATCCCCTTGAGATTTTCTCCCTAGAGTCTAGCCAAGTGAAGACACTGACTTTTTCTCAAGTATCTAGCAACAAAATTAATCTTGGTTTGGTAGATGGGGCACAATGGGGTTTAGTAGTCTAGGGAGTTGCTAAGTTCTCTGTAAAATAAGTCCATAGCATAATTATGAACAAATTGATTTGAGCTATAATGCTTATGTTCTTAAAAACAATGAAACTGTAATTTTTTAACATAGGACATAAGCTAATTCATTAAAGGCAAAGTTATTAATGTGATGCAGAAAAATATGCAATATCACTGAATTTACCATACATTTTGATAGATTTACAATATGAGACAGAGGAGTAAAAGCTGCCATAGTCTTAATATGTTATGCCCTAGTTTTTGTAAATACACTTTTATTTATTTTAGAGAGAGAGGAAGGGAGAGAGAGAGAGAGAGAGAGAGAGAGAGAGAGAGAGAGAGAGAGAAACATCACGAGAGAAACATTGATCAGCCGATGTTTCTGCATGCCCTTTCTGGGAATTGAGCCTGCAGCCCAGGCATGTGCCCTGACAGGGAATCAAACCAGTGACCTCTGGGTTCCTAAGTCCACGCTCAAACCCTGAACCACACCAGCCAGGCTGTTATGCCCTAATTTCTTGTGTCGGAGTTTGAGATCATTAGGTCTATTGCTCAATTTAAAGTTTTTTAATATTTTTTTCAACGAAAAGCTCTATTAATCTGATTAAAGTTTGAGTTTTAGATAATTCAAATCCAGCTAGTACATGAACTATAAGTAATTCCCAGAGAATCAAGGATGGCTGCTTATTTTAATCTGCATATAACTGCAGTGTATTTTATCTAAATTCAGATGCAAGTCACATAACATAATGCAAAGAATTTCAATCTAGACTCTCAGAGGAATGCCATTTATTAGCATCTTTAAAATTAAAGAAATATTTAGTGCTAAAACTTAAACACATTAAGAGGTAAAACTAACATGAGCCTACATAGCCCATATTGTGATCAGCACATCTTTTTTCACAATAAACAGAGGGGCTAGTTGAGGAGAAGTTATTATCTGATTGGCATCCTCCTTACAGCAGAATTCATAATGAGAGAGAGAATTTCCTGAAGGGGCACTGAAAGAAGCTTACCAGTCCCTGTGGTGTTGGGACATCACCCAGACTCCATTGACTCTGAACTATTTGTTACTGAGGATACCACTATTAAGTGCAATGTAGGATTCAAATATAAAGTATGTCCATAAGGCTGTGCTTTGTGAGGAATCTGAATTTATTTGGGTTGAAAAGACCTGTGTGCATAGAAATTGCTAGAAAAAACAATTCAAGAATGTGGTTTTTGCTTTATAAATGCCACAACCATTTGGTAAGATACATGCAGAGTGAAAGAGAGGAGATTCATTTAAGGTGCATCAGAGAAAAGGAGATGGGACTAGATCAGACCTAAATGAGGAGGAAAGGCTCTAGATGGCAGAGATAAAAGAAGATGATGAGCATTGAGTTTAGATTCAGGAAAAGAGTGAAGCAGGTCTGGGCATAGCAAGCAGTGAGAACAATGAAGCTATACCAGCCAGAGTGAGAGAATGAGAGCCTCTGCTGGTAGTCTGGAGAGAGATTAATGGGTAGTCCAGGTGCAATCTGGAAAAACTGAATCTATGTTAAGGCCCAGAAAAGATAAAGGACTGTTATAAGCATACTAGAGGCCTGGCGCACGAAATTCGTGTGTGGATATGGTCCCTAGGCCTGGCCTGCGATCAGGGCCATCTTCCCTAGCTGCCCCCAGCTAGCCCCACACCCTGCCGCCACCCACCCTGGGTTCCCTGTGCCATCGGGTGATCAGTGCCTGAAGGCCAGGGGAAGGGACCGAGAGGTTGGCCATTCCCGCCCACTCGCCGTCTCTGTCCCTGCAGCAGGTGGCCATCAGGCGATTGGAGCCTGCCGGCTGGGGAAAGGGACCAGGAGGTGGTCAGTGCGCCTCATAGTGACTGGTCCAGCGGTCGTTCTGGTCGTTCTGCTGCTAGAGTCAATTTGCATATTACCCTTTTATTATATAGGATTCCTAAAATGTGGCAGAGATGAGATTCAACTTTAAATACTATCTTCAGTACTATACCTCTGTCTCATTGTACATGGCAACAGTAAAATGGTGTTGACCCTGGAATCACCTTATCTCAGGTGTAGGTTAAACTTTAATGGGAGTTACTCAATAATATCACCTGAAATGGTCTAGACCAGTGGTCGGCAAACCGCGGCTCACGAGCCACATGCGGCTCTTTGGCCCCTTCAGTGTGGCTCTTCCCCAAAATACCACGTGTGGGCATGCACATACAGTGCGATTGAAACTTCGTGGCTTATGCGCAGAAGTCGGTATTTTGTGGAAGAGCCACACTGAAGAGACCAAAGAGCCGCATGTGGCTCGCGAGCCACGGTTTGCTGAGCCGCAGTTTGCCGACCACTGGTCTAGACCAGCGGTTCTCAACCTGTGGGTCGCAACCCCTTTAGGGGTCAAACGACCCTTTCACAGGGGTCGCCTAAGACCATCAGAAAACACATACATAATTATATATTGTATTTGTGATTAATCACTATGCTTTAATTATGTTCAATTTGTAACAATGAAATTGGGGGTCACCACAACATGCGGAACTGTATTAAAGGGTCGTGGCATTAGGAAGGTTGAGAACCACTGGTCTAGACATATTCCAACCAGTTTACTTAGAAACTATCAGTTTGTGCTTTTAATGGACTATTTATTGTATTTTTTTCTACTTTTTCTTGACTTTAACAGATAAGATGCCATTGTTTTGGTATGTTTAATTTTCTAAAATACAAAACAATGTATAAATCAGTCATGCATATCTAAGCTCAGTTTGTTAAATAGTGCAAATAATCCCATAAGAACAGTCTACAGTTGTCATACAGCCTCTTCTGTCCAATATCTATTAATAAAAGGAAAATATAATTCAACATTATCACGCTATATATCAATGTGGTCAAAACTGTCTATGGGTTGCCATTACAACCCCATCTAAAATAAAAATGAAAATGATACTTATAATACATACTTACCTATAGTTTATTTTGTCTTCTAGGCTCTTCAATGGCCAACAAGGAATTATCATTCAAAATTTTAGCACAAGATCCATTCTCACCGTTACCAATGTGACACAGGAGCACTTCGGGAACTACACTTGTGTGGCTGCCAACAAGCTAGGCACAACCAATGCGAGCCTGCCTCTCAACCGTAAGTCACAGTGTTGCCAAAATGCCCCCATGGGCCTCTTGGCTTCTATCTATCAGTAGAGATAAAACGTAAAAGAGTATGTTCATTTTAGAACTCAGCTTGATGTGATACATTTCTTACACAGAGTAACTTGGCCCCAAAATAATATGGGTGCTTGAGAATTTTATAATCTCTATAGAAGTCTACATGTGCTTAGAAAAATGTCTTAGAGATGAGAAAAGGGGGGAAAAAGCATATATAATAAGATCCACTGAAAAATGTCTCCTGACTAAAGATATTTAGTTTAGTGAGATTTTCTTTGTTTTTTGTTTTTTAAAATGTGTTATATTATCTTGAAACATGGATTAATTTGGGTTGAATGTACTCTTCTTGGTTGATGTTCTTTAGATACTCATCTTGAAATAGTAAGAATTTCACATTCCATAAACACAATGAAATTGTAAGTAAATGATGACATACAAAATATTTTATCTATAAAGAGAACATTTTTACTCAAAAGTGTATGTTAGAATACAACTTAAGGTTTCACTAATATATATAATAAAGTATATATCTTAGTTCCTAAGGGCTAGAAATGAAAACAGAAGAGCCAACACAAGGATGAGTTGAGGGGTCTGCAACCTAATGTAATGTTTCCTCCTGCAATTCATTTTAGTGCTTTTTAGTAGCTGAATCAACAACAAAATGTTGTAACCCTTAGATATTCCTGATTTGGAAATGGTGTGTTTCTCAAAATGTTAAAAGGAGATGACAGAGAATTCACTGTATTTTCAGTTCCACAGTTAGCTGAATCATCCTTATCTCTTATATTTTTACTAAAACCTGATGTGTATATTTATGCTATCATCCTATAATCCTAAACTGTCTCTGAAAAATGCAAATATTTTTAGTTAATCACAGACATGATCATTTCCATTTTGGAGAAATGAGGATGGGATATATAATAGTCCTACTACTTAAAATTTACTATAATAAGAAGTTTTATGATTTGTAAACTTTGAATTACCATGATTTAAAAACCTCTGATGTTAAATAATATATATACTATATATGTGTCAGTTTGCTGTTAATAAAAAAAGTCATTCGAAAATTATTTGTTCTATATACACTTTTCAAATATTACCTCATTTGTTTTTCTAGGTTAATATTACTTAATATTATTACTTAATATTTTTATTATCTCCACTCTGAAAGAAAAGTATTGCTTGTCATGCAATAGGCATTTATACTTGCTGGAGTTCCTTCCATGAGGATGCTTTATTTAGTGTAATTATGAATAATATAAAGCACTGAAAATATTATAGAGTACTGTGAATTCCAAATTAATGTAAATATTGGTATTTCTTCGATATGCTATTAATATTTTAAATGGTTTAAATATTCAAGAATCTGCAAGAATAACTGAATTAGAAAGGCAAAGTAAAGAAAATTTAAGACTTAATAATATGTTAAGCTTTTGCTATTTAAACTTCTAAGTCACATTCTGATATTCAAAATTGAAGCATTCATGAATGCCACAAATTAGAAACAAATGACACTTATTTAAGTGTTTATTTCACTCTGGGGACCTTAGTACAATCATCTGGAAGTGAAGCTCTGCTCAAAAGGCTTCTAAACATGGTATCTTTGGGATGGACTTCAATGATCTCACTCTCTCTTTGCCACCGGCTTCCTGTTTTAGAGGTGCTATGAAGTACTAACACAATTTGTTTTACTTGTGATTAAAGACATAATATGCAATCCACATTGTCTATAATTATGAACATAGCCCTTGAAGTCTGAAAAAAATATTCATATATAATACTCTTGTACAACTTCATCTAAAGATCTTATTGCATTCCTGTGTACAGTAATTATTTTTATGTATTTTCATCTTTTTACCAAATTACGTTTGTTGAGAAGACAGGGTCATATCTAATATTTTATATTTCATATAATCAATACAGTGCCTAATATTTAACAGGCAATCAGCAAATCTTTAATGAATAAATAAATTCAACGTTGAGTAAGTGATTGAAAGGATAATGAATAAATTAATGAACTGGGTTTTAGCTGTAGAATGTGCATTTAGATATACAAAATCATGTCACAGCACTTATTGTTAGCTCACTATGGACCAGATCCTACTCTAATCTCTTCATATAAACTTGTTCATTTAATTCACATACAACCTAAAAAGATAAATTTTATAATTCCCCTCTTACAGATGAAGAAACTAAGATAAAGAGAGATTAAAAGCTTGGCCAAAGTCAAATGCTTAATAAGTTAATAAATAATAAAGCCAAAGCAAACACTTGAATCCTGACAGTCTGGCTTTGGAGCCCAAGCTTTTCACTCCTACATTTCACCATCACTATGAATGTAAAACCATCAGTGGAGTAAGAGGTAAATTGTGTCATTTGCAACATACCCTTTGAAAGAATAAACATGTAATTATGTTTGTTCATCTTGTAGCTTTTATCAAGTTTTCTTTAATAATTTAAAGTGCTATTCTTTAATTTATAAAAGCTATTTTTTCTCAGTGCACAAAACAGACTTTGTGGCACTAATTCCAGATTAATATGATGTTTGCAGCATAGAAGTTCAGACATTTAAAAAATTCAAAGAGTAAATGCAGAATTGAAACAATTGTTCTATTCAGGCTCAGACAATTCATTCAATAGCAACATTCATTCTTCAAATATGCATATTGACTGTTTATAATGTTCAAAACATTGTGCTAAATGCTAGATATTGGAAATAAAATATTAATAGACCTGGAATCCCATCCTCAAAGAGTTCTTAGACACATGATAGAATGGGGACAAGAACATAGAAAACTAATGCAATCTAGTCAATGGTATTGTAGTAGTGTAGAGAAGAAGCTGATAATTCAGTCTCCAACATCATCAAAGCAATGTCCTCTAGAGCAGGTAATATCACTACATGCATTATGACTAAGCTGTAGCTCAAATTCCATTTTAGTCATCACTGTCTTATTTTTAGAGGCAGAACTCCACAGAATTTATTCAACAACAATTATGAGCACAATAAGAGAATGATCAAGTCAGTCTCAATGACTCAGGGCAAGGTATAAAGGAGATGATCTTTGAATTAAGGATGTGCTTGGGTTGAGCCTGGGTGTTGGAATCGTATTGAGAGAGAGAGAGAGAGAGAGAGAGAGAGAGAGAGAGAGAGAGAGAAATTATCTCATATGGAACAGCTCTGACATTGCAGTATGAAATAATTTGAAGACATATGATTAGAGTGAAATGTGGAAGAAGAGATTGTTGTGAGATTGGGCTTGACAAGGTGGTGGAATTAGGACAGGAAGGAATTTGGACTTTATCCTTCTGGTTTTGGAGAGTGAAAAATGGATATAAACAGATTTTGTTTCTGAAAGATGTTCTTAGGCAGTGTGGAAAGCTATAGATTTACAATAATAAAGGCAAAAGGAGATAATTGCACAGAAAGAGTAGCAGGAATGAGAGAGTTAAGAGATAATTAGGAGAGAGGAGTGAGTGAATAGAGACTAGAAAGGGAATTGTAGGACTCTAGATAAGTTCCAAATCTGGAGAGAATAGCTGGCAGTTGTAGGAACCTTGGTAACTCCCAACAGTTAGTTTGGATGGCATTAACCAGAATAGAAAACGATAGGAAAATTAGCACTTTTAGATCCGGGAAGAAGGTAGAGATTGAAAGAAGAGAAATAAGTTCAATTTTAGACATATCAGTTGGAAGTGATGTTCAGTAGGTAGCTGGATATGAAGTCCAGAATGGAGATGATTAGGAAGTTATCACAAGAGAGGTGGTAGTTTCAGTTATGAGACTACCAAGTGCTTAAAACTTGCATAGCTTTAAAACTTGCATAGCTTTAGTTGAGTGAAAAGATAAGCAAGGACCAAAATCCAAGCAAAATCAACATCAGGAGCATGGAGGAGTGTGCAGTGGAAGAAAAGCATCCTACAGAAGCATGTGTCAGTGGAGATACCAGAGGAGGATCAGTACTGTGGAAGCCATGGCAGGAGGCCAGCTCAAGAGGAGGGGAGGTCAACAGTGATGATGCTACATCAGGTCAGAGAAAGTCTGAAAAGAAGCCACTGTCTCTGACAACTGGCAGTTACTGGTGATCTTCACCAGACCAGTTTCTATAGAAAACTGGGATTTGATGCCACATTGCTATGGATTAAGGTTAAATAAGTTGATGAGGAAACAGAAACACTTCAGTAAGCTTCTCCTTCTGTAGGCTAAGCTATGAAAGGAAGAACACAGGCTGATGATTTGCCTTGATGCCTCAGCAGCTGGTCTGATTTGGGTTTCTTAAGGCCAAATTGCTGTGTGTCTGTCAATATGTCTCTAGCCTACAAAGATGCAAATATGTCAGTCTTTGGTGAACTATACTTGCCATGCTTCTTGCTGCTTCACAAGCCTCCCTCATTCCAGTTTGCCTCTTTTCTCACATGCTTCTTTGATCCCAGGTAAAGAAGAAAGGCTTTGATTTAATATGATTCAATGCCTTTGCCTTCCATGGCCTGCAGGCCTTAGACTGTAATTATAAGAGGGACTGTAGTTCCAAGTACAGAAGTTAGTAATTTCATCTATATAATTACTTCAGGTAGAGTATATACTTTATCAAGTAAGGGGAAAACAAACTGGATCATGAAAAAAACTATAGGAAAGCTAGTATACAATGGATCCTTCATCTTTTAGATTGTCTATCCAGAAATTTCTGAAATATGTCTGCATTTAAAAAGTATTTGTGTGTGTGTGCATGTATGTGCATGTGTGTGTGTGAGAGAGAAAGAGAGGATGAAAATATTCTGCAGTCACTTAAATCATCTGTAGATCAGCTTCAGGGAGCAAGTGCTTTAACAAAATTAGCAATGATGACAGTGTGCCAATTGTTCATGGACAATATTTTTGTTAAGTAAAAATTGGGGTTCATAATTATTTGTTATGTTATTATTATTTTCAACTGTGTTTTTTGCTTCCTGAACCTGAGCAACTGAAAGGGATGATTC